TAGTAAATTTTAATGATTTTATGCTTATAAATCCAGAAATGAGGATTTTAGAAAAAAAAAATTAACTCTAGCTTTACCTAAGAACAGTTTATATGCCTAGCTACATAAAACTAGCAAAAACAAAACAAACATCTCTGGTACGCTGGCTGATAAGGCAACTATGAAAACATGTTAGAGAAATCTACCCAGCAGTCTACCTGGTCTGTCAAGCCTACCATGGTCTTTGGAAAAAACCTGAGAAGTAGCAACAGTGAGAGAAAAACAATAAAATCTAGAAGCTAGAGACTGGAAAACATGCAAAACATTTTAAAGTAGAGTGGAAGAGAATTTTAAATCTAGCAGAAATGAAAATAAAATAATCTGTCACCTGAAGGTGGAGGAGGCCTCTGCGGGGGAGCAGGACGCGTGGGAGGAGCAACTGGACGGGGAGGTGGCGGTCGCTTGGGCTCTAGGGGCTGCGCAGGATCTTTCTGCTGCAGCGGGGCTGCTGGCTGAGTGTCAACAGGAGAACCTAGAACGGCACATTAGGTAAGATCAGGTTCCAAGTGGCTGCTGGCAGAAAGGAATGGTACTTCACATAGGCGTACACACACACACACACACACACACACACACATATACATGTGTTCTATTTTACTAATTTTTAAAATTTGTACAGTAGTGTAAAGAAAAGGCACGTATTTTCAGTACAAATGACAAAAATAGTCTACCTTCTGGTACTATGGCAGCAAAAATGCTACCACCATGCTGACTTCTCACCTAGGTCCCCGGTGCTGAAAGCTGATTTACTAAGCGGCCCTATCAAGAAGGCACAAAGTATTGTTTAAGTCATTTGTAGTCTGCCGGCCAGCAGAAAGAAGAAAAAGAAAAGCCCAAATAGTTATGGGGTCCCTTTTTTTCTTTTTCTGTTTTTTTTTTTTTTGAGACAGAGTCTCATTCTGTCACTCAGGCTGGAGTACAGTGGCATCATCATAGCCCACTGTAACCTCAAATTCCTGGGCTCAAGCGATCCTCCTGCTTCAGCCTATTGAGTAGCTGGGACTACAGGCGAGTGACACTGCATCTGGCTAATTTTTCTGTTTTTTGTAGAGATAGGGTTTTGCTCTTGCTCAGGCTGGTCTTGAACTCCTGAGCTCAAG